AGTATATATATATATATATATATACTGATATACACTACACAAATGCTTTTTGGCAAAAAAAAACAACAAAAAAACACGAATGTAAGAGATGAAAATTTTATCTAGTTACTGCCCGACATCCAAGTTTGCTTTCTGACGCGGATTGAAATAGCTAGGTGGTTGCCATGAATGCCAATGTTATGTGTACTTTCGGGAACTTCTCAACTCTGCCAATAAAATCACGTGAACAAACTCGAGCGATAAGTGGTTAGCGAAGAATTATTTGGACCAATCGTGCAGTCTGGAAGTTTACTTGGTTGAAGTAACGTCTCTGAAAGTAATATAGACGTATTTTTATTCCACGTCTCCAGAAGTATTATACACGTATTTTTTCCCAAATGAACAAAGATTTTTTAACGGTGATGTACTTCGCATTTAAAGATATTAAATGTTATCGTTCTTTAGCCGAATGGAACACGTGTATTTCTTAAGTCTTGTTTAATCAACCCAAGCTTGCTTCATTTGCCATAGTCAATCCATTTTTTGTTAGCTAAATCTAATCCAACACTCGGTTCTTCCTTAGTTGAACATAAACTAGTTTTCCTTAGCCAAAACCTAATTCGTCTTTTCGTTATCTAAATCTAACACAAACTGGTAAGGAATTTTAGTTATCCAAATCTAATCCAATTGATTCTGGTTCTTCGTTAACCAAACCTAATCCAACACCAACTGATCCTGGATTCCTGGTTCTTTGTTAGTTAAATCTAATCCAAATGGACTGTGATCCTATTTCTACCCGGACAATAACTGTCTATTCGTTTGGCAGATCTTATCAAACACAAACTGATTCTAGTTCTCCCTCATTTAATGTAAAGTTTACTTAGTATTTTTTAATTAAATTTGATTTAGTCCTCGCTCCTTGAACGTGTATGACCGAGTTTAAGAGGCTCTGGCTCGTGAAGAGTACAAACTACGTGAATAAAAGAAACGGTTAACTGAAACTCCTTCAGATCGAGTGATACGGTCATTCTAGTGGAAATTAAACATTTTTAAATGTCTATTATATTTTAAAGAAAATCTAATTATCTGACAGGACTGTGTTTATTAAAATGTATCAAATCGCGTATTATTTCATTATAGTGCGACGAATATGTTGTTTAAACAAATACGGGCATTTTGGGAAATCAAAAGCATACCAATATATGTAATATATTTTGCTCACAGAAATTTTTAAATATTTTTTTCTACAATCAAGCAGATGTCGCTACCGTCTATTCCGTGATCATACAACGTTTTAATTTTCAAATGTAACACATGAAAAGTTAAATATATTTAATTTAAGTTTAATATGTATGTTTTAGCCATCTCAACAATTCCACGTAAGTTATCATGTCAACAAAACGAAAATGTCAAAATAATTTTTGTGTTGTTTAATCCTAGTAGCGTTATCTATTTTTTACCACCCGCACCACAATATGTCATTAATTCAGAAATGGAACAGCTTTTTATACAACACTCGTCTGTTACCCCACGAATTGGTCGAGAAAAAGTGTCTGATTTACGGAAGAGAGACATTGCTATTTTTCTGCCAAGGTAAGCGTCGTCAGATGAAGTGTCCATTTCTTTTACCAATCGCCACCAGGGAACTAAAAAAAAAGGATATGAAATTGTTATCTTTACACACATTGCTTAAAACTACAGAACTAAATTTTATTTAACCTAACCATACAAATAGTGTTGTTTGGTCACTATCTTAACTGTGATAAGCAAATAACATTTAAATTAGGTAACATCAAAAATATATATTTCTGAATAAAATAATTAGAGGTGAGAGATATGGATAACTGAAAGTAAAAAAATATAGGTAAATTTAAGAATAACTGAAAGTAAGAATTAGAAATAAATTATGGGAATAACTTATGGGTATAACTGAAGGTAATAATTAGAGATAAATTATGGGAATAACTGAAGGTAATAATTAGAGATAAATTATGGGAATAACTGAAGGTAATAATTAGAGATAAATTATGGGAATAACTGAAGGTAATAATTAGAGATAAATTATGGGAATAACTGAAGGTAATAATTAGAGATAAATTATGGGAATAACTGAAGGTAAGAATTATAGGTCAGTGATTCGGATAACTAAAGGTGTACACAAAAACTAGAGTGCAGAAAGCTTGACTTATGGATGTTAAATAATATGCTAAAACTTTATATTGACGTACACATATTTCAAATACTTTATCAGTAGTGAACATAATACAGACTAAGCAAACACGTGTATGAAGACTTTTTGAAAATTATTTTACCGGTATCCATGTCTTTGTTGAAAACACCGTGCTCCAACCTTTTGTAGGGAGTGTAGTAAATTCCGCCACACACGAGAGAGAGCGCTTCTGCAAGCTCAGGCCCACAAAGCCTCTGAGATCGTGTTGCAATCAAATGTTGACTGGGCAAAGCTGTAGCTAATGACGTTACAACTGCGCCGACACAGATCAATATCAGCATGTTTGTTCCCTAGAGAAAGCATTTGTGTAAAGATCAGGTGAGTAAAAACAGCAAACTTCCCACAAAATATTTACAAGACAAAATACTAGCATTAGTATTTAGGTTTAACTGTAAAGTATGTAATTTACCAGTAAGGATGACTTAACATCCTACAGCGTTCTACTGAGTTTACCAAAGTCTGGTATACGATGATCGAGATGTTCGAATGTAAGATTGTGGTTTGATTGCCAAGCGGACTTAGTGTTGAAATCTGGCAGGAAAGGTTTGTTTTCAACACTGAGTGAACTAAGCAGGAATATAATACAGGAGTTCAGTGTCTTAATTCATTACAGTTCGTCTTTAGTAATCAGTTGACTGTTCTGAAATTTATTCGATCACTTCATTTGCTCAGTTTAAAAAATCACCAATTTTCATACACGCAACTGATTACGACTTTACCAATACAGCTTAATCCTGTCTAACCTGTACCACCTAGTGATAATCTCACACGTCTTTACCAATAAGCTTAATCCTGTCTAACCTGTACCACCAAGTGATAATCTCACACGTCTTTACCAATAAGCTTAATCCTGTCTAACCTGTACCACCAAGGGATAATCTCACACGTCTTTACCAATAAGCTTAATCCTGTCTAACCTGTACCACCAAGTGATAATCTCACACGTCTTTACCAATACAGCTTAATCCTGTCTAACCTGTACCACCAAGGGATAATCTCACACGTCTTTACCAATAAGCTTAATCCTGTCTAACCCGTACCACCAAGTGATAATCTCACAAGTATTTACCACTACAACATAATCCTGTCTAACCCGTAACCAAGTGATAATCTCACAAGCCTTTACCAATACAACTTAACAGTGTTCGTAAAACCGGGATCTTCGTCTATCTCGTGTGTAATGTGTTATGATGTCATAGCAAGTGTTCGTAAATCTGGGGTTCGTAATCTTCGTCTGTCTCGTATGTAGTGTGTAATGACGTCCTAGCAAGTGTTCGTAAAACCGGGGTTTGTAATCTTGGTGTAATTTGTTATGACATCATATCAAGTGCTCGAAAAATCATGGTTTGATAATATGTGTAATGTAGGTTCTATATCTAAAATTTAATCTTTTTTTAACTGTTTTGTTAAAGTTCAATCTGCTTTTTTTATATAGGTTTTATGAATTGATATTTGAAATAGAGAAGAAAGACACCTACTATCACACGCTGGTGGCTACAAAACACACTGCCAACGAAGGATAAGTGACTTACGTCAGGATTTTAATTAAAAGAGCTAAAAATAAACAGAAGAGTCTAAAATGTTTCAGAGTAATTCTTTGTGAAACAATACAACAATCAAAGTTACAGTTTAACTAATTCGTGGCAAACAACAAGATTATTCCACACAAGTCCGGGGTTGACATCAAAATACCAACTCCTACGTTTCATATGTCGTCATCATATTTAATCCAGGAGGGCGAGTCCCCCACGCATGTGTACTTCTCAGTTCTCGCCTTATTTATCTTTCTAAATAAGAAACAAGTACAAATGAAAGATCACTCAGACATTTACTATTTTTTCTCTATTATAAACGAAGTGGTAACATTAAAATATAAAAGCAGGAACTATAAATAATTTATAGAAATCCAGCCACGAGGGATTCGCGTGACATTTAGTATCTTCAGACAGATGAACGTAAAAAGAGCCTCTTCCCACCCTGGATGATATTTTATACAGTTGAAACAAAGCAACAGATAAATGAGACTTCTAAGGTTCATACCACAGTGTGGGAGAGGTAAAATGTATTTTTATATAAGAGGTAATTAGAATGAGGAGATACTGACAGTTGTAGGGAAACTCGTAATGAAACAAAATTATAAAAATAAATTAACTTAGTACGCTGGGGAATAAACTCAGTTCAAGATCATAGAATAGTACCGCAATATGTGAATGATTACTGGACGAAGGTTACGAAAGATGACCCAGGTCCAGTGCTGTACTTGAAACTAGTTTACCATTACCAATCATAGTCGGAATGATGGCCATTATTACGCACTACTGCCCAACATTGCAATGATCGTTTTAACGGTTTCTTTGAAAGATGACCATCTTCCATCCAGTATAGAATTTAAACAGACACAAAATGTATTCAAGCTGTAACATCTGTGGGTTTTCTGAGATTCCACTTCCTTTCTTTCTTTATATAAAAACAGCCGTTGTTTATGAGGTGTGGCTTGAAACTTGTAAACTTTTGGGAATAGTCTTTCTTGATAATAGCCTTAATTTTAGAGATGTAGACGTTACCTATGAATTGCGTTGGGTTGTGGTTTCGGGGTCCGTCATTGTCCTAAATATTTCTTTGTGAGAGTTTTTTTGATTTCTTAGAGAACTCTGGAAAAGGTTTTCTTCTTCGAAGTGCTGTGCCTTTTGTAAGCTCACTTCTGTTTTTGAAAACTTCCTTCTTCGTTGTGCCCTTTTTTTGTTGTTCTTAAAAACTTCCTTCTCGGTGGGCTTTTTTTTTAATTCACTTTTTATCTCACTAAAGCTACAATTCGGTACTTACTTCCATTTTGTAACAGAGGCAGAATCCAAATCTGAAAATTCATTTCATTTCAGTGGTTCTCAGCATTCCTAAAACAAAGTGGGGGAGGGTGGTCATTAGACATATAATGATCCAAATCTAATATTAGATGAAAGGACAGCATTAACTTGGGAGATCAGGAAGAGGACGATTCAGAGGATCCGGTTCCTCTTTCCCACCCCGCCGGTTATGTCAATACCTCTTACAAAGTTATGTGTTCCATATAGAGTGTCTTCCAGTGGATAAAGTAATCCATACAGAGTGTCTTCCAGTGGGTAAAGTAATCCATACAGAGTGTCTTACAGTGGGTAAAGTAACCCATACAGAGTGTCTTATGGTGGGTAAAGTAATCCATACAGATGTCATACAGTGGGTAAAGTAATCCATACAGAGTATTTTACGGTGGGTAAAGTAATCCATACAGATTGTCTTACGGTGGATAAAGTAATCCATACAGAGTGTCTAGCAGTGGGTAAAGTAATCCATACAGAGTGTCTTACGGTGGGTAAAGTAATCCATACAGAGTGTCTTCCAGTGGGTAAAGTAGTCCATACAGAGTGTCTTCCAGTGGGTAAAGTAATCCATACAGAGTGTCTTCCAGTGGGTAAAGTAATCCATACAGAGTGTCTTACAGTGGGTAAAGTAATCTATACAAAGTGTCTTACGGTGGGTAAAGTAATCTATACAGAGTGTCTTCCAATGGGTAAAGTAATCCATACAGAGTGTCTTATGGTGGGTAAAGTAATCCATACAGAGTGTCTTATGGTGGGTAAAGTAATCCATACAGATGTCATACAGTGGGTAAAGTAATCCATACAGAGTATTTTACGGTGGGTAAAGTAATCCATACAGAGTGTCTTACGGTGGATAAAGTAATCCATACAGAGTGTCTTCCAGTGGGTAAAGTAATCCATACAGAGTGTCTTCCAGTGGGTAAAGTAATCCACACAGAGTGTCTTACGGTGGGTAAAGTAATCCATACAGATTGTCTTGCAGTGGGTAAAGTAATCCATACAGAGAGTTTTAAAATGCACCACGTATTTCACACAGTGTAACTGTACTCTGAGTTACTCATGCTCGGAACTGAGTTCAACAATCTGTTAGTTGTTAAGATACTAAATATGATTTCAACCATCTGTTACTTTTTCATGATACCAAATCTGAACTAGTAATGCTCGGAACTGATTTCAACCATCTGTTGCTTTTCAGGCTACCAAATCTGAGCTAATATTGCTCGAAACTGGTTTCAACCATCTGTTGGTTTTCAGACCAAATCTGAGCTGGTAATGCTCGGAACTGATTTCAACCATCTGTTGCTTTTCAGACTACCAAATCTGAGCTAATATTGCTCGAAACTGGTTTCAACAATCTGTTGGTTTTCAGACCAAATTTGAGCTGGTAATGCTCGGAACTGATTTCAACCATATGTTGATTTTTTTCATGCTACCAAATCTGTGCTAATAATGCTCGAAACTGATTTCAACCATCTGTTGGTTTTCAGACCAAATCTGAGCTGGTAGTGCTCGGAACTGATTTCAATAATCTGTTGGTTGTTTAAGATACCCAATTTGAGCTAATAATGTTTGAAACTGATTTCAGCCATCTGTTGCTTTTTCAGGATACCAAATCTGAGCTAGTTTCAATGCTTAGGATACCAAATCTGAGCTATGCTTGGAACTGAATGTTGCTTTTTCGGGATACCAAATTTGAGCTAATAATGCTCAAAACTGATTTCAACCATCTGTTGCTTTTTTCAGGATACCAAATCTGAGCTGGTAATACTTGGAACTGATTTCAACCAACTGTTGGTTGTTCATGATACCAAATCTAAACCAGTAATGCTCAGAACTTATTTCAACCATCTGTTGCTTTTTCAGGATACCAAATCTGAACTAGTAATGCTCAGAACTTATTTCAACCATCTGTTGCTTTTTCAGGATACCAAATCTGAGATAGTAATACTCGGAAAGTATTTCAACCATCTGTTGTTTTTTCAGGATACCAAATCTGAGATAGTAAAGCTGAGAACTGATTTTAACCATCTGTTGGTGGTTGATAACAAGTACTGCTGGTGGTTGTTCAGGATAACAAGTACTGTTGGTGGTTGATAACAAGTAGTGCTGGTGGTTGATAACAAGTACTGCTGGTGCTTGTTCAGGATAATAAGTACTGTTGGTGGTTGTTCAGGATAACAAGTACTGCTGGTGGTTGTTCAGGATAACAAGTACTGCTGGTGGTTGTTCAGGATAACAAGTACTGTTGGTGGTTGTTCAGGATAACAAGTACTGTTGGTGGTTGATAACAAGTACTGCTGGTGGTTGTTCAGGATAACAAGTACTGCTGGTGCTTGTTCAGGATAACAAGTACTGCTGGTGCTTGTTCAGGATAACAAGTACTGCTGGTGC